CAGCTCCAATTACATTCTGGCAAACCATCAGGCGACTGAGAAGGGGAAAGCAGTGCTTTACTAAAACTGTGTTCAGTGAAGGTGGGGTGCTGTTGACCTCAGCCAGTGATGTCAGCAGGAGGTGGAAGGAATACTTCTTGGACCTTCTCAATCCCACCAGCAAGTCGTTCCATGAGGAAGCTGAGTCAGGGGACTTCAGGGTTGGTTCATCCATAACTATGGCTGAGGTCGCCGAGGTAGTTAAAATGCTCCACAGTGGCAGGGCTCCATTGGTGGATGAGATTTGCTCTGATTTCCTTGAGGCTCTGGATGTTGTGGGGCTGTCCTTGTTGACACGTCTTTGCAACATTGCATGGACAACGGGGGCAGTGTCACTGGATTGGTAGAATGGGGTGGTGGTTCCCCTCTTCAAAAAGAGGGACCAGAGTTTGTGCTGCAATTAGAGACATCACTTTCCTTAGCCTCCCTGGTAAGGTATATTCAGAGGTACTGGAGAAGCAAGTCCAGTCATTGGTTGAACCTCAAATCCAGAAGCAGCGGTGGTGCCAGGAGGGCGCTAGGGGGTGCTATAGCTCCCCCTGGAAAAGTCATAGCACCCCCGTATCACCCCCAAGAAAATATCAGGTTATTCTGTTTTTCATCTAAGTCAATATTATTTAGTATGTGGTGGTTGTTGTGATATTTTCCTTGCAAAACAACTAATTTTAAAAAGCAATCAAAGATTATATTGAATTTTTTTTTAAATCAGATCTCGCAACAGGAAATGAACTTCCAAACCGTAAGTGAAAATTCCAGTTACCAAAAGCTCGGTAAACATATGAAAAGTACATAAAATGCAAAAACAAACCGTTTTCCATTGCCCATATTTCCCAGGATGGAATCAGAGAAGGAGGATTTTTTGGAAGCAGACTGCAACCAACAAACAAACAATTATTTGGAAGAAAGGGATCAAGTGTACTGCCATCCTCCCACATCTGCAGAGAATTCTAACACTGCTAGCGCTGGACAGCTGGAGTATCTAAGCAGAACTCCTCAAGTCAAGATGGACCAAGATGACCACTTCTGCAAAAACACCTGTCACGCCTATTTGGAGTGCAACAAAGAAATTTTAACAAAGGCTGGTTCAATCAATATTTGTGGTTGGAATACAGCATGGATAGAGATGCCGTGTTTTGCTTTGCTTGTTGGCATTTTCTAAAAGGAGGATACAGATTTCACAATAACAGGCGGATTGTCCTGTTATGTAGACTTCTAATGGTGAGTGAATGATTTCAACCTTGTAACTTTGTAATGAATTCAGCGTTGTGGACTGAAATTGTCCACTTATACACATATACATCTGGGGGAACAATACAGTGGATTTATTGTAACAGTTAACATTCTACAATATACATATGCATGTCATTTTTGTGCATGCTTTCATTAAATTGCAGAATACCACATATTCACTATCCACTTTATTGGTGACTATACTCATCTGAGTTTTGAGTGCACCTCTGTGCTTGTGTCTGTGTGTGTTGAGAATTGAAAGAACAAATGATCCTTCATAGCACCCTCAGTAAAATGCTTAGCCCCTCTTTAGCACCTGCAGAAAAAATATCTCTGGAGCCTCCACTGTCCAGCAGGAACAATTCAGGTTCCTTCCTAGCCGTGGAACACTAGACAAGCTCTTTACCCTCATTAAGGTCCTTGAGGGCTCATAGAAGTTTGCCTATCCAGTCTAAATGTGTTTTGTGAACATGGACAAGGCGTTCAACTGTGTTTCTCCCAGTACTCTGTGGAGGGTGCTCCATGAGTATGGGATTGGGGGTCCATTGCTATGGGCTATTCGGTCCCTATACAAGAAGTGTGAGAGTTTGGTTCACATTGCCGGGAGTAAGTCTGCCCATTGACATAGATTCTGTTCAAAATTTTTACGGACAGAATTTCTTGGTGCAGTGGCCAAGAGAGTACAATTAGGTGGCCTCAGTATTTCATCTCTGCCATTTGTGGATGATCCTGTTGGCGTCATCGTGCCATGATCTTCAGCTCTCACTGAAGTGGTTCACAGCTGAGTGTGAAGCGGCTGGGATGACAAACAGCACCTCCAAATCTGAGGCTATGGTCCTCAGTAAGGAAAGGGTGGATTGTTCTCTTCAGGTCAAGGGTGATGTACTGCCTCAAGTGGAGGGTTCAAGTATCTTGGACTTTTGTTCACGAGTGAGGGAAGAATGGAATGTGAGATTGACAGATGGATTGGTGCACTGTCTGTAGTTATGCAGACTCTGTGCTGGTCCATTGTGGTGAAAAGGGAGCTGAGCTATAAGGCAAAGCTGTCTGTTTACCAGTCAGTGTGTATGTTCACACCTTCACCTATGGCCACAAACTCTGGGTAGTGACTGAAAGAATGAGATTGTGGATACAGACAGTTAAAATAAGTTTCCTCTGCAGGGTAAGAGGACTCAGCCTTAGAAATAGGGTGAGAAGTTCAGTTATCTGGGAGAGACTCAGATTTGGGTATCTGGTAAGTATGGTCCCTGGGTGCCTCTCCAGAGAGGTGCTTTGGGCATGTTTGACTGGGAGGAGACCCCGGGGAAGACCCAGGACATGCTGGAGAGACTATGTCTCTTGGTTGGCCTGGGAACACCTTAGACTCCTCCCAGAAGAGCTGGAAGAGGTGGCTGTAGAAAGAGATGTCTGGGCCTCCCTGCTCTAGTTACTGCCCCTTCAACCTGACTTTGGAACAAGGGAAAGATAATGAACAGATGGATGGAAGGAACAGGAATGGCCACGAAGTTAAAAGACAACACCAGAGTTAAAGAGCTACCTATAACAGGTAACATGTTTATTTTTCATAACCTTTATATAGAATGCCAGTTTCAAATATTTGAACTTCCCTTTTCAGACAATCTGGACTATTTGTTCATTTTTATATTTTAAGCAATCAGTACAGAGAGAAAAAAATCACATCTTTATTGCTGTCCTCAAACTCAATCATAGTGAGACATCATATGTCGCAACCTAAAATGTTGATTATAGGGCTTTTGTGCTGTTGTCCCAAAGCGTATTGGCATATCTTGAGTAGAGGCCAAGCAGATGAGCTGTAATCACATGTTCTCATGAGTCTCTTTAGAAACAGATGACAACAATCACACTGATTAGTGTGTCATTCAGACCACTTTGACAATCAAGCAGGCAGTTCTCAAAAGACACCTCAGTCCCTGCTGAGACTGTTCCTGACTTATTGTAACTATGGTGTGTTCTTCATTTTGATTTGGCCCATGGCAGAAATGTCCACATCTTGACTTCAAAAGCTGCTTAACTCTGAGCATCATTAGGAATCAGACCTGAAACCACCCACCGAGACGTTAATCAGAGTAAATATATATTCTCATAGTGAATAATTTAAATGGATTAGAGGATGACATGGACTTTATTGCAGTTGCTGTTATGTCCTGAACAAATGTAAATTTCCACATTGCTTAACTTGGAACACCAAACTGTTGATGTTTTAGAAATTTTATTTTAGCTGCTCCCTCTCCAGGTGCCTCTACATCAAGTCATCCTCCTCTGTCACACTCTGTCCTCTGCATCCTCTGTCCTCACTCCACCTACCTCCATGTCCTCTCTAACTGCATCCATATATCTCCTCTTTGTCTTTTTCCTGGCAGCTGCATTTCTAACATCCTTCCACCAATATACCCACTGTCCCTCCTCTGGACATGTCCAAACCATCTCAGTCCAGTCTCTAACTTTGTCTCCCAGTTGTTCAACCTGTGCTGTACCTCTGATGATCTCAGTCCTAATCTTATCCATCCTTGTCACTCCTAAGGAGAACCTCAAAAATCTTAATTTCTGCCACTTTCAATTCTTTCTCCTGTCTTTTAATCCATGTCTCGGTTACCAGACCATACAACATTGCTAGTCTCACTACTTTCTTGGGGGCCGAGATGGTGTAGAGGCAGGGCAGCCGGCTTGGGACCCAAAAGTCCCAGGTTCGATCCCCAGTCACTGCACATCACGTGGTGTCTTTGGGCAGCACACCTCATCCCCAAAATGCCTCCCCGGCGCTTTCAATAGCTGCCCACTGCACCACCTGGTGGTGGATGGGTTAAATGCAGAGACTAATTTTGCCATTGTATGGAAACATACAGTGCTGACATTGTGATGACATTATTATTATTATTATTTCTTGTAAACTTTTCCTTTGGCCTTTGCTGCCACACTGTTGTCAAAAATCACTCCTAAAACTTTTCTCCATCCACTCCATCTTGCCTGGACTCTTTTTTTCACTCTTTATCACTTTCCCCATTTTCCTGGACAGTGGACCCCAAGTACTTGAAGTCCTACACCTTTGTGATCTCTGCTCCTTGTAGTCTCACTGTTTCACCTGCCTCCTTCTCATTCACACATATGTACTTTGTCTTACTACAGCTGAATTTCATTATTCTTCTTTCATGCGCATACCTCCACATCTCTAAGTTCTCTTCCACCTGTTCCCTGCTCTCACTACAGATCACAATGTCATCTGCAAACATCATACTCCATGTAGATTCCTGCCTAACCTCATCTGTTAGTCTGTCCATTCCCAGAGCAAACAAGAAGGGTCTGATATTTTGAAATACAATTTTGAAAATGGTCTGGGACTGCAAAGAAGTACTAAAGGTAGAGAGAAGTGTAGATATTATTTAAAGTAAAACCATTTCTATAAATTCACAATAATTAGTCCGCCTTTATGCAACCAAATAGATTAATTAATCATTTGTGTCTTATCTGTTCAGTCCTAAGATCATTAGTATTAAGTTTTGTTAGGTTTGTGAAAAATGATTTCCCACAATTCAGGTGTGTATTGTAACAAGTTTGACAAAGCTGAGGTTTCTTTGTGTTAGACAAATCTAAAACTTGATGTAACAGGCCTCAAACATAGCCTCCCTTGTAAAACCCAAATTTATTGACTCAAAATGGCTGTTTGTCTTGATTTGTAGAACAACCCTCAGTTGAAGTAAATTGATGCTACTCACCTTTGCACTGGTTGGTGTTTTTGTCCAAGATGGCCTTCGTTGACACAATCTTTCCATATCTGTAAAAAGAAAAACAATACAACGTTCTGATTAATCATTTTTTACTCTGAGTCTTTCAGTATGCATCTGGAATAATTGCATTATCATTGTAATTACTATTATTGGGAATTATTGATATTTTTCAGAAAGGTGGACCATGACTATTAGAGCAGGGCCTTCAGCTTGGAAGAAATATGTAGTCATGCAATCTGTGCTTTTGAGTACTTGATTTTCTTTTGCACTTTTACACAACATCTTGATGCATGGTCAATAATCCAGGTAGATAAGTCTAACAAGGTTAAATCAGGTCTTCTGGACGGATTCTTTGATGTTGAAACATTTTGTATTTTATGCAAAAGTCTTCTTCAGCCTAAAGAGCTGCAAAAAACTCAGTCTTATAATCAGCACTTTCTCATGGTTCAACCATTTTCTGGTCACAATCAAAACTAGTTGTTCACATGGAAAAGGAGAACCATCAGCCTAACAATCGATCATTAGTGCTCTGATGGTCGTTTGCTATTCACAGAGTTCTCTACACAAAGATGGCTTCCTTTACACCTCTCTCAGCCAACGTTCCTCTCTATCAAGGATGTGCACATCTTTATCCCTGAAAGAGTTACTGCTGGCCTGGAGATGAATGTAGACCGCAGAGTCCTGGCCTGAAGAGTTTGCTCTTTTGTGCTGGGCCATCCTTTTTAGGATATCCACATTGCTCCAGTGCCTGTCTTGTGTGGGATTTCTCCTTCTGTCAGGCTCATGAATTTGTGGGTAGGCTGTCTGCTCTGTGGTACAGAGTCCTGATGATTCCTAACTTGTGCTCCATTGGGTGATGAGTCAAACCACACTTACTGGTCTGTGTGAGTGAGTTTCTGGTACACATCAGTTTCCAAAGTTCCTCCATAAGAGACTGAGTCCTCACAGTCCAAGAAAGCCAACCTGCCATTTTTTACATATTCTTGTGAGAACTTTATACAAAGTATATGTATCCACAGAGTTGATGTGATCAGTAAAATGTTGAACTTCCTGAGATTTAATTTTAACCCAGGTGTCATCAACATACCTGAACCAATGACTTGGTGGTGTCCCTGAAAAGGACGTCAAGGCTCTCTTTTCTACTTCCTCCATGTACAGGTTTGCAACAAATGGTGTTACTGGAGACCCCATAGCACACCCATGTTTCTGACTATAATATTGGCCCCCATACGTATGTGAAGTAGGTTGACTACAGGCACAGTTACAAGAGTTGACACAGTTGTTCTGTGGAAAGTGTGGTCCTGCTGCCAAGTGATGTCCTAAGGTGGTTTGGTAAAGGTTAAAATCGGACACCTCCATTTGAACTGGATTCTAATTAAAACAAAAAATACTTTAAAGTGTTGCAGTAAAACAAAGCAAAATTAAAACATATAGCCATCCTATTTGTAAAAAAAAAAAAAAAAAAACCTGCAGTATGACTTTTTATAATTGTTTATTGTTGTTGCTGTTGTCCATTGTTGTCATCTTTCTTTGTTGAAATCAGGTCTCTCTTGTAAATGAGTCCTCGAGGCTCAATGAGATTTACCTGTCTAAATAAAGGTTGATTGATATGAGCTTTGGTCGCTATTATACAAAAACCAAGGTGAGGTTTGTTGATAACAATGTGACTTTAATATTTTAGAGCATTTTAAAAGTTACCTGGAACCCACATAACTTACTGATGCAAACAAAATAATGTATTTTGATCAGCTGTCAATAGACTTTTAACCTTCAATTTTCTTTAACATTTAGAGCAACTACACTTTCAGTGTGGATTATTGAATTTACAGGTTGTAAGTGAATGCACCATTAAGCCCTCATGTGTTGCCATAAAAGCTGTGGAGAAACACAATAGTTTTTTTAAGCACAAATGGTGTGACTGCAGGGACAAAATGATGCCAGACAATAAAATAAACAATCTAATGTTGTATCTTAATTTACAGACTCACAATGTAAATGTTCAGTCTTATCTGAGATCAGCTGCAAGTGGTTGTCACTTAACCACTGTTTAATGTTAGCATGCAGTTTGTTAAGGACTTTAATTTGTGAAATTTACTTTCCTTGAATGAACAGAAGAGGAAGATATCATCGAAGCTGATATTTCACATTTCTAAACTTCTGAATTGCCTGTCCAAGGGGGAGAATATAAAATAAATAAATAAAATAGGGCCCAAAAATGTTTCTTATTGAACAAGTTTCTCAGTGGTTTCTCAAAGGAAAATACTGAGACAGAACTCTTTCAGATGGCTGGGATCGGCTGGGATCACCGTCGAGCTTTGTGTGGATGAGGCGTTTTTCTAATTAATGTGTTCACACAGCAGCACAGTGACTGACTAGCAGGCTGTGTGACTGTCAGACTGATTGACAGACTGACAAGCTGCTGACTGTGTGATGGCTCCAGGTGAGGGATCGAGATGTTTTGCCTCCTCTCTATTAGAAGGAGGGGGAAAAAAACTACGATGGAGACAGAAACGTTTCAATAAAGAAACAACGCATGAGAGGATAGGGCGGGAGGAGGGGAGAAAACTAAGGGGGGGGGGGGGGGAGAGAGTGTGAGGAATGAGAAATAGACGAGGAAGAGGAAAGTAGTCAGTCAAAAGATAAAAAGAGACAGTAAAGGCAGAGAGGAAGTGCCGTCGTCAGGGAGAGATGGAGAGATAGTAAGAGGTGTTTAATAAAGAAGAGATCATTTAGTTGTCACCACCAAGAGATTCTCTGTCAGCCAACTGCTTCTGCCAGCGAGAAGAAGAATTCAGAGGAGCTCGCCTGACAGCCCAACATCAAACTCTATCAGGAAAGGAAACTTTCAAAATAAAAAAAACGATAAAAGGCTCTGAAAGGCTTTAATAAGACATGACAGATGAGCATCTTATAATCTCAAAATTGGCACGGTAAAAAAGAAATCCCTGCTTTTTAACAATTCAACTATTCTTACTTATTTTCTTTCCTGCAGTTTAGGATATTTTGGGATATTTATCTGATGTTTGCCTGGCTCATTTTTTTTTAATGTCACATTGATCGTAAACACGATATTTGATCTGCAGTTTAGGGATAGATCTAATAGCTGCTGACATCGTAAAAACATCCTTTAAAAATGCTACATACAGTATTTGCAATGACACACACATGCAGATGCACAGATTCATTCTCTAGTATGGAGACCAGCTTTTAGCAGACTTCTACCTCGATGTAAATCATACTTGGGTTCCATGAGTGTCACAGCATAAAACATCCACAGTACATCCACATGAATGTTTGTGCTGGAGCAGAACTGAGCCTACAAATATGTGTGTGGATGCAGTTGTCTGTGAATGCAAGCAGATGCATTGAGTTAGAACGCACGACAGGGATCCATCAGGATTTCGACAGGTTGTTTATGCGAGCAGAAAAAAGGGAATCTGCTCATATTTAAATGTAAAAAAAAAAAAACAGGGCAAAAGGGATGCAAGTCAATGAGTCTTAAAGACATCTTTTTCTGGACCTAACTGGAGCCTGTTTCTTGACTGTAGCAGAGGCCAGGAGTGACTTGAAATAACATCAACTTCTGCTTCATCTAAAGTACACAACGTAAAGTACAACATACAGAATGGACTGATGGTTAGGGTCAACATATCCTTACTGAGTTTACTTTCATTTTCTATAATGAGAAAAATTAAACGTATTGTATGTCCTTGTATAAAAACAACAGGAATTACCAACAAAAATCTCCAGTTTGTTTTTATTTTTTTTTATTTATTTATTTTAGCAAGGTGCTACAAATCGCCTCCAAACATTTCTAAACCACAGAAGAATGTAGGGGTGTAACGGTACGCTAAAATCACATTTCGGTTCGGTTCAGTTTCAAGGAGGGCTCGGTTCGGTTAATTTTCGGTACAAAAAAGGCCAAAATAAAGACTTGCAAATTGTTTATTTTGAAAATATGCCAAGTAAGCAATACGTATGTATAAAAATAAATAAAAAAAATCCCTAAAGAGGAAGAAGACTCAGCTGCTATCTCGGTGACATCCTCAGACTGCAAACACAGAGGTAAAAAAAAATCGAGTTAATAAGATTATTATTTTAAATTTAAAAAGTTAATCAGATCACAGTAATACAATAACAGTACTTCTTCTTGCACGGTCATCATTTCTGTTATGAGGTGGCTGAATATCTTGCCCATTATCATCATCATGTGGCAGAGTTTTAAATCTGGGCTCTAAGGCTTGTTGACAATATCAGTTTTAGCTTTTTCATAAAGTGCTGCTACAACTTTTTGGCTGAAGTGTTGACGTGATGGGATGTCGTAGGCAGCGGGGCTCAATAACTTTAATCATATGCTTAAAACTGGTGCATCAACAACAGAATACGGACGTAGATCCAGAGCTTTTAAAACTCCTACAGCTTGTGTTATTGCTTTGACCAATCTGAATTACCTGATAAAGGTTGTTTAAATGCTGCTATCGGTCTTTGCACCAAACTGCTAGAAGAGACGTTCACATTTGGATGATGTGTTTCAAGTGTGTTAACAAGTTAGACATGTTGCCTGCTGCAGATCCAATCTCTGTGAAACAACGTCGACACATAGCTTTGGATTTGCGCGTGTCTTTTAACAAGAAAGCCATAACTTTCCCAAACAGGAGACCACAACAAGATGAAAGGGTCTTCAAGATATGGCTTGTTCGTTGCCTGCTAGGCTGCTAATGCTACGCATGCTGAAAGACTATGCAACAATAAATAGCGCCATGCTGAAAAACACTTGGGAACTTTATTTCCGCGGCGCACAATCTCTTGTTAATAAAATTTAATGAGTGAAAAAATAACCGAAACGGTACACATGCGGACTGAACCGAACATGCTGTACCGAAACGGTTTAATACACCCACATTTACCGTTACACCACTAGAAGAATGTCTTATCACTAGCCTGTCAGGATTAGCTTGTGCTAAAAAAACTTCACTCAAATAAGATATTTATATGTAATTTCTATAGCAAACAAAAAAAAACAACATTTTTAGATGTGTGATTTTTC